ACTTTTAATTTGTAGAGATGGGATTTTGCCATGTTACCTAGGCTTGTCTTGAACTCCTGGGCTCAAGCAATCCTCCCATCTCAGCCTCCCAAAGTGCTGGTGTTGCAGGTATGAACCACCACACCCGGCGTCACTTATTCTTACCTCTGTCAAAGTACCTGTGTGTATTGCATTTAATTAATGTGAACAAATTCATGAAATTCATTGTGCAAAACCGATGACCTTGTGTTAACACACATTTGGTTAAACAGCTCAAATGAAGTCATGCTTCTTGCTGTTGCTAAACCTGCCCCTGTCTGCTCACTCACTGCCCGGCTCTTCTCCCTCGGGGTCCTGAGACGCACACACAAGTGCACAGGCATTGCTTCCTGAAGATTTAAACAGAGTGAGATATAAGTGACAAATATGAAATATTGAAAAATTAAGAAATGTTACTGAGCTTTCCGGGGCGTGGCTGTTGGTTTCTATGTGGTGGTTTTCCACCTGGCTTTGTATTAGGAAAATGTTCAACCAGAAGCAGAGCGGTGACCCCGTGTCTGGACGGCCCTGGGCTATCCCCGCTCTGGTCTTGTTCCCAGCCCCTCCCTTCCTCCTTTGTCCACTTTCTGACTTTCTGCAGGCTTTTTAGGCGAACTGTGGTACAACGTCCAGCTTTGCAACTGGTAGACGTTGTGACTTTGGGCCCATGATGCCATATCCCTGAGCCTCGCTTTCATTTATAGAATTGGGATGACACCTGGCAGCCGCTGAGCAGCAAATGTGAGCAAAATGCTCCGCACTGGGCCTGGCAGACAAAGCTGCCAACCAGCCGTGTACCTCAGACAAGTCCTGGCAGCCACAGACCGGGGCTCTGGCCCGCAGCTGCTCCTGTCTCTGGCAAAGATGGGGATACCTGCTAGAGCCACTTGCCAGCCAGGCCAGGCAGGTGGGGACCCTTGGTCCAAAGAACCTGCCTCTCGAGGGATGTCTGTCTGTGTGCAGCTCACAGCTCCTTGTGTGAATGCTGACATGTTAACAAGAAGTCAAGATTTGGGGCCCTTTAAGGAAGCTTCTAGGGAGAAACAACTGAGGAATCAAAGAGAAGCAAAATGACAGTCGACAGCGGGCTGGCAAAAGCCACATAGGGCAGCGCTTCTCCAGCTTCCTTGAGCACTGAAATCCGCCTGGCCTTGCTCCACTGGGATTGGGGCTCTGTGTCTCCAGCAACCCCTGCCCTGCTGAGAGCCACAGGCCACAACTGGGGCAGTGAGGGCAGGGGACAGACGGACACCTGCGGGTCCCCCACCTGCTTTCCTGTGTCCTGTGAGCTAAGAGTAGGTTTTACATTATTATTATTATTATTTTGAGCCAGAGTCTCACTCTGTTACCCAGGCTGGAGTGCAGTGGTGCAGCCTTGGCTCACTGCAACCTCCGCCTCTTGAGTTCAAGCGATCCTTCCACCTCAACCTCCCGAGAAGCCACGATTACAAGCATGTGCCATCACACCTGGCTAGGCTAATTTTTGTATTTTTAGTAGAGACAGGGTTTCACCGTGTTGGCCAGCCTGGTCTCGAACTCCTGACCTCAAGTGATCCGTCCACCTTGGCCTCCCAAAGTGCTGAGATTACAGGCGTGAACCACCATGCCTGGGCTGGGTTTTACATTTTTAAATGGTTAAAAAAACCCCACAAAATCTAAAGAATAATCTTTGTGACACATTCAAATTTCAGTGTCCATGAAGTTTCATGGGAACGGGCACGTCTGCCCTTTAGTTCTGTCTGTGGCTGCTGTCACAGGGACGAATTGAGCAGCCGTGACGGGCCCCTCCGCTCCCGGGGTCAGTGGAACGCAACGTTCCCCCTCCAGCCTTGACACCGGCCCTGCCTGTGCCCCACGTCGCCACAGCCGGCAGGGGGCAGCAGAGAGCCACGCGCTCGCCCGGGCGGTGCAGGAGCCGTAGCTGGGGCGCCGAAGAATGCGACCCTGGCCGAAGCGGAGGTTTCCTAAGCGGGGTCTGAGATGTGGGCCTGAGGTAGAACTGCCCGCAGCGAATAGCACGAGGAGACGAGGTGGGGGTGACAGTAATGGTACAGGCAGGGCCGGCCTCACGGGGTAAGCAGGGCAATAAGGGACAGCTGGTTTGCTGGAGTGAAAGGGCAAGGCCTGCAGGAGGAGGGCCCCCCAAACCCCCCCCCCGCAGCTGGGGCACTCTGGATGCCACATGGGCCTGGACTTTACGCCGCCCGCTGTAGGGAGTCATTGAAGGCCCCAGGCTATAGTGAGATAGGATTGGATTCTCCAAGAGGAATGTGCCTTTTTGGTGGCTGTGCCTGAGGACGCTGTTGCAACAACCAGGGACAGGCTGACAGTGAAGGCTGTGAGGTCCCATGGGTCACGGGGGGACCCAGGACAGGGTGACAGAGCTGTAAGGTCACATGGGTCACGGGGGGACCCAGGACAGGGTGACAGAGCTGTAAGGTCACATGGGTCACGGGGGGAACCCAGGTCAGGTTGACAGAGCTGTAAGGTCACATGGGGCAAGGGGGACTCGGGACAGGGTGACAGTGAGGGCTGTAAGGTCACATAGAGCAGGGGGTCCCAGGGACAGGGTGAC